TTAAAAATTTAAAAGAAACCTGAATTTTGAAATTTGAAACATGTTTTGGTATTTTTGAAATGGGTAAAAGTAAAAGTATGATTTATGTATTCTTCCCAAATAATTATTCATATTTCTTACTATGTGCTCGAGCGAGCGGGTCCACATGAGCCATTTGCCTTTACAGCCCACATCACTTTACAATTTAAGAGATAAGCCAAGGTTTTCACATCTTGAGCTGCACTCTTAGCACATTTTGACACCTCTAATTCTTATTATATTATCCAGTAGATTTTCCAAGAACGAATGTACTTGACTTCGTACTCCTCTCCCTATACTACATCATGGGAGTATGAAGCTGGTGAGCTACCAAACTTATTCATCGTCAAGTAACAACACTGTTGAATAGGCCTCAGTCGTTACCACAAATACCAAAATCGGCATCAATTTAAGTTATTGGCATCATGGTTATTGTCTTTTAAATTTTTTTAAACATATTTGGCACCATGAGATAGAACTAATGAGGACAACACACCTAGTCTTGACGTCAAGAAAAGTTACCATGAATTTTCTTAACCGGATTGGTTTCATTATTCTAACAAAATGCAAGTCGAGCTGCATCTCTGGTTAGAATTGATGATATTGTGAGATGTCGTACCAAAAAAAGGCAAAAAAATAATTAAAGTACTATCAATCAATTAATAAAACATGGAGTGAAAGAGGAAAAATTGTTTAGGCTTGCCAACACAAACTTATGACTTGTTCATGCACAGCATGTGCAATCCTATCCTGTTAGACAGCCTGACATGGCAACATCTTTGTGAATCTATTAAATTCTCTCTGAAAGAAATTATGTAAATAACCAGCTAAGGGAATAGAATAACTCAACTTTTGCCCATTTTTTTGCATTACAAGCAAAAAGTTTTTTTTTTTTAATCATAGATGATGTATGCAATGTGCATATAAGACATAACCCTTCCAAGTTTGACATTAGTAGGCCTGACATGTCGACTATGGATTATGATTTTTGATAATTTTATTATCACCAAATCCATCTTTCCATGAGTGAAAAATCCGATTATGTACTTTAGTAATGTAAATAACTTAGATCAAGCATAATTTATATTGTTTGCAATTGTCCTTGAGTTACTGGGGACATAAAATGATAGAGAATTTCCATCTCAGAAGAATAAATTCATAGGAAATTCAGAAAACTGCATCAGCAGGAAATGGAAAATGGGAAATAGACAATCAAACCAAGTTTATGCGGCTTCGACTATATAGCCCAGAAGTTTAGAAGACACTGCAATTTTTTTTTTCCTCGATCGCATCTAATCATATCCAAGTTCCAATGCACTTGACCAACATCCGATGAAAGGAGTCGAAATTCTATCTAGGGCTAGAAATCAAGAAACCAAGCTGCTCAGCTAAAACATCTGCACCACCCTCTTCAACTTCTCCCTCATCAACAAATGTCTTAATCTCATCATTAATACCCTCATTCATAAAATCTTCCCAAAATCCTACATCAAATGAATTATCTGCTATTTCTTGATTTTCAATGTTATAATTTTTCTGTAAATGTTCTTCCTCCATATTCATTGAGACTCCACTTGGTTCTCCAATAATATCACCATATTCTTGAGATTTAATAAAAATGTTACCTTCATCTCTTTCGACTAATTCAACATTGTCAATGAAAGTATTTGTTTCTTCAACAACGTAGACTCGACCATGATCAATTCCCTTCCTTCTCTTCTTACAAATCGCCTCCTCAAGTTCTTTTCTTCTATCCTTCTGTTGGACTATCTGTAGTAGAAAATTAGGATTTTGAATTGCCTTTTTCAAGAAACTCATCATTTGTTGTTGTTTCATTTCTGTCCCTTTTAACTTTTGTTCCATTGTTTTAAGGTATGCATTAGTATTCTGCAGCTGTTGTCTGAGTTTCACCAATTCCACAGTTAAAATTTGTTTATCGCGCCTTAACCGATCGATTTCTCCACCCGATCCAAACTTTCCCACTTCAACATACGAATCGAAACCTTGATGAGAAGATTGAGGATTCGACGGTGTTTTTCTCCTCCTAATATTTTTCAAAAGATGTCTTTGCCCCCTCAAAAACCCTTCATTAGCAAACTCCCATTTGTCTGGATCAACCTTCCTAAATCCCTGCACAGTTTACATTCGCGAGCGAGTGAAATGCTTCATTGAATATAACTGATACCATCGAATGAATATAATTGAAGCAGAAACATATTTCGAATTGAAAAAAAATATAGAAGATAATGAAAGAGTGATAATTTCCTAACTAAATCATAACACAAACTGCAATTTCATCTATCATGTAAGTCGAGTCGACCGATTTATTACTATATATAGATACTGAAACAAATAACAAAAAATATATAAATGACTCAATTTATAGGGTTACAAACTATTATAGAATAATCACATAAATTTTGAAAAAAATCCATAAAGAGAGATAATGACCTATTAAATCATAAAACAAATTACCATTCTAGTTAAATAGAAAATAAAGAAAGAGAGACAATTTCCTAACTAAAATCATAACAAAAAATTACCATTCTATCATGTTAATCTGAGTAGACCAATTCGTTGCTATCTACAGATACTCAGACAACTAATAGAATTTATATACCTAGCTACAGTGTTACAATTAATTCGAAAAGAAAAAACAAGATTATATATAATCGCATAAATGATGAAAATAGCATGAGATCAAAACAATCTTTTTCTTATTTTCAGCCTAGTTGAAAGTATCATTGATCTGAGATCTATATAGAAAGGATTTAGATTGCAAATAATGAACAGTATGCAATACAGATATTGAAGAATAGTCTAGACATTTCAGGCTTTCTCAATCTTTTTCTTATTTTCAACCTAGTTGAAAGTATCATTGATCTTAGATCTATATAGAAAGGATTTAGATTGCAAATAATGAACAGTAGGCAATACAGATATTGAAGAAGAGTGTAGACATTTCAGGCTCTCTCTTGAACAAACAAAAAACCTACAGTATGAAATATATTAAACAGCACCAACTTGCCCTTTTCAAACAAACAAACAAAGAATGATTTTCCTAAGAAAAGTAAAAACAAGATTAAAATATTAATACATTCTATGAACATGTGTATAAAATTATAAATAAAGGCAAACAAATCTAGGGCGCCCCATTTGCAGTACAGTACTTAAAAATCATTGAAGTTGATTTCAAGAGAAAATCTCGACTCGGACAGTACAATATAC